CACCAATAATTTCCTCATATCACTTAGAACTTTTGGTTCTATAATTATCACATTTGTTCAATATTTAAACATCAGGTTTAAATTATTATGATATGGACTTCGGGTTCCAATATCTGAATTAACGAAATCCCTTTTTCATTCAGGTACATGGTGCTAAAGTTGTTCACAATAAATTGAACACATTACTGTACAATGGGATTTATAGCTCAAACGAGACTACACAACTTATGAGTGTCTTCAAATTTATAAACCATAACAATTAGAGAACCAACTAATATTTGGTATTGATCAACGTGGTTCACGTTAACATTTAATCACCTTTTCACTTTGTGAACCATAAAATTATATATGTACATACACATATATAAAAGGATTTTCTTGCCTTTTTAGATGTATAGAAATTGTAGCTTCTGGCTCATTCCTTTACATGTATAGAATTTAGGATTTTCAAGTCCTTCATTAAATATATTGAGGATCAAGATCTTCAGGTCTTAATTCCCCCTTTTTTTTTTCCAGCTCCATCATAATACACATAGAGTGTAACCTATATTATCTTTTCGTTTTGTATAAATGGGCATTGATTGCTTCTGGCAATTATGATTTCAGTTATATATATATAAAATAACCATAAGTATTGTTGATATATATCATAGCCGACCTAATTCACTATGTCATGCCAAAATGTCCTACCTGATTTACTATGCCTACCAAGGCCAAAATGTCCTACCTGATTCACTACATCTACCAAGGCCAAAATGTCCTACCTGATTCACTACATCTACTATGCCAAAATGTCCTACCTGATTTACTATGCCTACCAAGACCAAAATGTCCTACCCGATTTACTATGTCTACCAAGTCTAAAATATCCTATTCATCCTCCGCCACGTGTGCCCTGACACCTTACCACAGTCCACTATTGTTGGTCGCCATGACCGCCCATAGGCCTGACTCGAATCCACCAAGGAATGTCCCGCACAGATTCCGAAGGCACGTCAGACACCTCCTGCAGCAATAGCATGGGTCCTCAACGGACCTATACGGACATCTCACTATAAATATGCCCCTCAAACATGTCCAGGGGTAAGCTCATTCTCACAAAATCACTCAGAACATTCACTATCACGAGTTCACTAACTTAGGCATCGGAGAGGGTTCGGCCGGTACCGCACCGGTGCCCTTCACGGTGGTCCTTTGCTCATTGTGTGCAGGTGAACCCGTACAATAATTTAGGTTTCAGCCCTGCTGAAGCCTCACTGTTGGTTGTGCTAAAAACACCTACAACAGTTGGCGCCGTCTGTGGGAAACGCAGACGAAAGGTCTCGTTTTCCTTTACCATACTAAGCCATATTCATCGGCCCAGCCCTTAGGCAAACCTTTGCCTACGCAAACCATGTTGAGGAGGAACTTAGGAGCATCCCAGCCCAAGAGATCTGGGAGGGGCCGGCTCCGCGGCCTAGAAGAAAAAATGGACCAGGTCCTTAACGGAGTTGGGGGGATGCAGGAACTAAGCAATAACCTCCTCGAGCAAAACAAGCTCCTGCGAGAACAGCTAGATCGAGCCCTGGATACTGAGGCGAACATAAGGAGCGGTCTAGAACACCAAGGCCGCCAGAAGACCAACCTGTCGCCCGGGTCAGAAAACCAAACCCTCTCATCCGACGAGGAGGCAGGATCGGAAGATCAATATGATGCTCGTGATATTCTCAACAACAAACGAGCTCGGAAGGAAAGGATGGTCGATGCCGACGATGGAGGAGTAACTGACATCGAGGTCATGTTGAAAGATCTGGTGACCGGGGAACTAAAAAGTGTTTGGGATCGCCTTGGTAAGGTGGAAAAATCTAGGTCGGCTCGGATACTTGAAGGTCCGGAGGGGGAAATCCCTCTACCATATACGCAGGCGCTGCTCGACGCCAAGGTGACAGGGGACTCCAAGCCCCCCAAGATCGCCCTGTATGAGGGTATGTCTGACCCATACGATCACCTGGATAACTTTCGATATGCTATGGAAGGGCGAGGTGCCAATGAGGCGACTAAGTGCCGACTGTTCCCAACAACTTTGAAGGGATCCGCCACCAGTTGGTTCAAAAGGTTGACCCCCGAATCCATTGGTTCATTCGCCGAGCTCAGGAAGGTATTCTTGGAGCGTTACATGATCATGTCCACCCGATTGTACACCCCCAATGACCTGTCAGCAGTTAAGCAGCGACCAGACGAGACCCTTCGGGACTACATCACCCGATTCAACAATGAATACGCCAGGTGCGAAGGGTGTGACGAGGCGACAGCTCATAACGCCTTGATGGGAGGACTCCAAGGGGGAGACTTTTTCTTCTCGCTAACCAGAAATCCACCCGAGACATACAAAGATCTCCTTCGCGAAGCAACCAGCTATTCCCGAGCTGAACAGCTCAACCTAGCCCGAAAGGCCTCGGCAGGATCAAGGCCTGCCAACGAAGAGGCTAGACTCGGGTATCGCCATTATGATCGCTTAGCTAAAAGGAAGGATCACGATGGAGGAGCGAAGCGACGGGAAGGTCGACCCGAGAAGCACAACCGGTATACTAACTACACCCCTCTCAACAGGACAAAAGGAGAAATATTTGCCGTGATAGCGGAGGAGCTCCCCACGCCCAGGAGGAGTAAGTACCCGTACCGGGGGAGAAGGGACGAAAGCAAGTATTGTAGATACCACCGGGACCACGGCCACCATACTGACGATTGTTATCAGCTTAAGGAGGAAATTGAGGCACTCATCAGACGAGGTAGGCTACAGCAGTACGTAGCTGGTAAGGCTGTTCCGATAGAGCCAGTCACATCGCAGGAAGTAGACCCTCCCCCAGCAGCGACCAGGATGACAATCGCCACCATCTCGGGAGGACCCACATTGGCAGGAGACTCCAACCGAGCCATCAAGAGCTATGCACGAACCGCCATAAGGGTCCCAACCGAAGCTATGTCAGTAGGCACAACCGAGCGCCCTCCAAAGATGTCAAGGATAACGTGCGAACCTGTATCATTCACTGAGGAGGACCAATTTGGTCTCCACTTCCCACACACCGATCCCCTGGTCATCACTGCTGAAATAGCCCAGTGCGAGATCGCTAGGGTCTTCATCGATGGAGGGAGCTCAGTTAACATCGTATTCCTCAGTGTGTTCGACCTGCTTGGCATCAGCCGGGATCTGCTTGACCGACGATGCTCACCCCTAGTAGCTTTTGGGGGAGGACACGTGCAACCTCTCGGCCATATGCACCTCACCTTGTCTATAGGAGCACACCCCCGACGTGCTAGCACCACCACCAGCTTTGTAGTGGTAGATTGCCCTACCTCCTACAATGTGATATTGGGGCGACCAGCCCTGGTAGGTTTGGACGCCACGGTTAGCCACAGGTGCCTCATGCTTAAGTTTCCAACACCGGGAGGGGTCGGCTGTGTTCGGGGAAGTCAGAGCACGGCTCGGACATGTTACGCGTCATCAGTAAAACTAAAATCCAAAGTGTATGGAGAGACTTTCTCATTAACCAGCGGTCCCGCCTACCCGGCACCTGCTGAAGCTTCAGAGCTCGACCCAAGAGAAGGGATTGACCCCGTAAATCCAAAACCAGTGGAGGAGTTAGAGAAGATAGCCGTCTACCCTGATCACCCAGAGCAATTTCTCCAAATTGGCACAAGGATGACGACCGTGGTCCGAGAGTCTCTCGTCAAGTTTCTAGAAGCCAACTTAGACGTGTTCGCATGGACCCACGAAGACATGACTGGCATAAACCCAGAGATAATCACACACCGCCTCAGCATTGACCCTCACCACAAGCCGGTAAAGCAGAAGCGACGAAGCTATGACACAACGAGATACGAGGCAATGAGGGATGAGGTCGATAAGCTTGAGAAGAATGGATTTATCCGTGAGGTAAACTACCCTAAATGGTTATCTAATGTAGTGATGGTTAGGAAGACCGAGGGAAAATGGAGAATGTGCGTCGACTTCACAGACCTCAACAAGGCATGCCCTAAGGATAGCTTCCCACTACCTCGAATCGACCAGTTGGTCGATGCCACGGCTGGTCACGAGCTGCTAAGCTTCATGGATGCCTACTCAGGCTACAACCAAATCCACATGCACCCAGACGATCAGGAGAGCACCTCATTCATCACTGATCGAGGTACCTACTGTTATCAGGTAATGCCATTTGGCCTAAAAAATGCAGGAGCCACATATCAGCGCCTCGTGAATCGCATGTTTTCAGAGCAAATTGGAAAAAGCATGGAGGTGTATGTGGATGACATGCTAGTCAAAAGCATAAGAGCAGAACACCATACGACTGATTTGACTACCACCTTCAATATCTTGCGGCACTACGGAATGAAGCTCAACCCGACCAAGTGTGCATTTGGCGTCGGGTCGGGTAAGTTCTTAGGATTTATGGTCAGTCATCGGGGTATAGAGGCCAATCCTGAAAAGATACAGGCGCTCATCAACATGACCCCTCCCAGAACTCGCAAGGAGGTCCAGAGTCTGACAGGAAGGATCGCCTCGTTGAACCGTTTCATTTCTAAATCCACAGATCGGTGTCTCCCTTTCTTCAAAATTCTTAGAGGGAGTGGGAAAGAAATAATATGGACAGAGAGCTGCACCGCTGCGTTTGACAACTTACGAGAACACATGGGCCGTGCACCCATCCTCTCAAAACCAGAAATAGGTGACACGCTATCGTTGTACGTATCAGCCTCTTTATCGGCAGTCAGCTCGGTCCTCACAAGAGACGACAATGGCACACAACGCCCAGTATACTACGTCAGCCGAGCACTCCTCGATGTAGAAACACGATACCCGGACATAGAGAAACTGGCACTAGCCCTGGTCGTCTCGGCGAGAAAACTCCGACCATATTTCCAAGCCCACCCGATCCGAATTCTGACAGATCAGCCACTTCAACAAGTTTTACGAAAACCCGAAACATCAGGTAGGCTAGTTAAGTGGGCAATAGAGCTCGGTGAATTCGATATCGAGTATCGACCCAGAACAACCATCAAGGCACAAGCCTTGGCAGATTTCATCTCAGAATTCACCCTGGCACCATCCACACAAGGGAAAAATACTCCATTGCCCGACCCCATCGAAGAAGCCAACCACCACTGGATTCTATACGTGGATGGGGCCTCCAATTCACAAGGTTGCGGAGCTGGCCTGGTACTCATCTCCCCCCATGCCACGGAAGTCGAATACGCGCTCCGGTTTGGATTTCGGGCATCCAATAATGAGGCAGAATACGAGGCCTTGATAGCCGGCCTTCGTCTCGCCAAGGAGTTGGGCGCCAAAAAGATCCAGGTACGGAGCGACTCACAACTTGTGGTCAACCAGGTGAATGAAGAATATCAAACTCGGGATGATACCATGATCGCATACGTGGCAAAAGCAAGGGACCTACTGTCACAATTTCAGACATATGAGCTAAGCCAAATCCCCCGCTCGAAGAATAGCCGAGCTGATTCTCTAGCCAAGTTAGCCTCAGCTGCAGCATCAGAAATAAAACGGGTCGTGCCAATTGAGTTCCTCGCAGAAAGGAGCATCGACCGGGCGGAGCAGGAGGTGAGTATGCTCAACCAGGGACCAGACTGGATGACTCCGATTCGCGACTTCCTAACCAACGGTACTCTGCCGACTGACAAGGCTGAAGCCCGACGCTTGAAGCTTCGAGCCGCCAGATACACCATGTTGGAAGATCGCCTATACAAGAGAGGATTCTCTCAGCCACTCCTAAAATGCATAACTCCCGACCAGGGGCGAGAACTTCTACAAGAGGCCCACGAAGGGATTTGTGGTGACCATTCTGCAGCAATATCCCTGACAACCAAGATATTGCGTAGGGGATATTTTTGGCCCACAATGAACAAGGACGCCAAACGACTTGTGCAAACTTGCAAACCTTGCCAACTCTTCGCTACCATCCCACACCAACCACCTGAGAGGCTCACCACCATGACAGGCCCCTGGCCATTTGCACAGTGGGGACTGGATTTGATTGGGCCGATGCCAAAGGGAAAGGGGCAGACGAAATTCGCTATTGTTGCTGTGGACTATTTCACCAAATGGGCGGAGGCAGAGCCCTTGGCAACCATCACGACCACTCAAGTGCAGAGCTTCGTATGGAAGAACTTGATTTGCCGCTTCGGCATACCACACTCAATTATCACCGATAATGGAAGGCAGTTCGACAACGCAAAATTCAAAGCTTTCTGCTCCGGTTTGAATATCAACCTCCGCTTTTCTTCACCAGCTCACCCACAAGCTAACGGACAGGTGGAGGCAGTGAACAAAATTATAAAGCGCACCATAAAGAAAAAGTTGGGGGCTAAGAAGGGGAATTGGCCCGAGCTACTCCCCGAAGTCTTATGGGCATACCGTTGCACCCAACGATCATCCACAGGTGAAACCCCATACTCATTATCCTTCGGGTCCGAAGCGGTCGTCCCAATTGAGGTAGGTCAACCCACCCGACGAGTAGAGCATTTCGCACCCGAGCAGAGCGGGATTGAGCAGAACCTAAGCTTGGACCTCCTCGAAGAACGAAGACTGCAATCAATTCTCCATCTTGCCGCCTACCAACAGCGCACTACCCGTTTCTACAATCAAAAGGTGAGAGAGAGGAGCTTCCGACCTGGGGACTTGGTCTTGCGGAAGGTTCTTCCTGGTACCCGAGACCCAACTGCTGGTACACTAGGGGCCAATTGGGAAGGCCCTTATACAGTAACTGATATTGCCCGACCTGGAACCTATCGGCTCGCCCAGTTGAACGGCAAGGCATTACCACATCCATGGAATGCCGAACACCTCAGACAATACTTCCCCTGATTAAGCTGAAGGCTCACCATTAACTGGGAAGCATCACCCCACCTACCCGACCTTTGGTGGTCCGGGTCGTATGTCTTTAATTTCCATGACTCACCGAACTTACCCCCGACAACAGTGAATGACCTAGTCAGGGGGTGAGATCTCGAGTGAACCTATATGTTTCTTCCCTTTCTAAAATTAATTGCAGTATGTTTGTTTTTAGTTTTTTTTCCCGTTTACACATCCTGGTCGGCTCTGCTTACACTTCAAACATCACACACTTGAACCGTCTCATACGAAAACACTCAATATATCAAACATTCGTAAGTAAACAAATAAAACTTAAAAACCAATTTAGAATTAAATCCAAAAATTAAAACAAGTTAAACAAGTTGAGCACATTGTCAAGACGAGCCGACTAAGATCTTAGTAGCTAAAACATTTGTAGGTGCAAAAATGGCTCGACATCTCCAGCGCCCTGCGACACTGCGACATTCGACCCTGTCTACTTCAAATTAGACTTAGGAGAATTGGTACGACCAACTTCTATGACAATCTCCCGGCTCGGCTCAGCCTCCTCCGCATCAGACTCCCCCTCATCCAAACAACTTAAGTCCAAATCCGGATACTTTGCCGCCACCAGCGCAATGAATTCGGCATAACCAGCAGCTCTTGCCTCTGCCAGCTTCTCAGTGTAGGCATCCGACTCTTTGAAGGCCTTGACTGGATCTCTCACAGCACGCCGCATCGCCACTTGCTTTTCCTCTAACTCGACTCGGAGTTTACGCTCCACCTCCAAGTCCCGGGACAGACCGACCTTATCCACCTTTAGAAGTTCCGCTAGTTTTCCCAAATCATAACTCTTTCGCTGCTCAGCTTCATACAGACCGCGAAGTGCACGAGCTTCATCCACCTCTTTCTTCTGCTGCTTCAGTAAGATCGATTGTGAGTCTATTTTCTCCTGCATCCGAGTCTGGTGCCCTTTCAACTCCTCCAGTCTCCTCAAATCCCACTCTCGGTGCTTCTTCACCTGCTCGGCTGCCAGAAAATGCTTCACAGCCAGCTGGAAAACAGGTTACCAAGACAGAATGTTACTGACGCCAATATCTCGTCAAAAAATATATACATATAAATATATTGTACGTACCCGAAGATGATCCTCTAGCGCAGCTGAAGTTTTACCCACATAATTATTCTCATCTGGTGCAAACAACTGCTCAACATGATCGTAAGGGATTGCCTTTTTCACAGCTGCATGAAAAGCAGATAAGGTGGCTCGCCCGACACCAGTAGCATCTGGCTCGGTGGACTCACCCGAGCCAGCCCTAGTTGCACGCCTTTTGTTTCCCCTAGCCGAATCTCCGACGATTTCGACTTGTTTCTCGACCCTGCTCACCTGCCCCTCAGCACCTCTTTTCTCGGTTTGTATCTCCGCAACTCGTTCGGATCGGCGAAGCCCCTCCCGAGCAGACCTATCCTCACCATTTTCCTGCGAAACCAACCCCTTAGGTGTTTCTGCTCGGCTAGCTACTCTGGTTTTTTTGAGAGCTCTATTCTTCAGCCGAGCTTGGAGTTCAGCTTGCTCTTCAGCCGCACCCATTTCTGCTCACTCATCAACAAGTCGGTTACCCACAAAAAAAAAAAAAAAAAATGGATATAATAAATCAGCAAGCACAAGGAACTACACAATCACCTGTCCTCGGAATCAGACCCGCGTTTGCTAGTCTCAGGGGAGTCAGAATGCTATTAACAGACCTCTGCCTGGTACTAAGTCCAAGTACCCGGTCAACACCGACTTTCTCGTCGTCTGTTAAGACCACCGACCTATCCCACTCAACTGCAACAACAGCCAAAAAACAAAAAAGAAGAAGTTAGTGGCAGTACTACATATGTATGGCTAAAAGATAGAGCACAAGAAGGGGTAAACCAAGGGAAGAAGGACCCGACCTGGTTCCCTAAAACAACGAGCAACGCTACAGGTCGGTGTCCGACCCCCTTCCAAAAACTCCCATGCCCCCGACACAAAAAACCAATGTAGTTTCCAATGCTTTGGGTACGAGGGTCGATCTTCCACTATTTTTCCCACAGCACTTTGAAGATAGCAAAAGCCGACCTGCTTGGGACTCCGTTTCAGAATCAGACAATGTTGGAGTTGCTGTATAGTCGGCTCGGTGCCGTTCATTTCCATCCACAACACGTACAAAGATAGCATGACCCCATACGCATTCGGATTCAATTGGTGCGGCGCCACACCAAGAACACATAACCAACTTTGGAGACAAGCCTTCAACGGGAGTCTAACCCCTTGCCCAAACATATCTGTATACAATGTAACGTACCCTGGGGGCGGACAACTAGGCTTTTCACCCTCCTGAGGCAACCTAATCTCAACATTATGTGGAACCCCATAACGCTCCCGGATACAGTCCAGCTGCCCACTCCTCACGGTGCTAGGAAAATGGTCAGCTGACTAGTTTTTTTCAATATAAAACTCGGGGTCCGACGGCACACCAAGCCTACTCGGGTAATAATTTACGCCATAGTCCAACGCCCAACACCCTACTTTCAGCGTGTCACTACCCTTGTATGGGATTATTTCGGCACCACTCCCTGACCAGCTCGGCTCAGCATCTACCCCATATCCAACCCTCACACAATGCCTCTCCACCACCGGTAACCCATCCACCACCTCATCATCAGATGCCCAATTCTCTCCGCTATTTGCACTTCGCTCAAACACACCTATATTGCCGTCATCCCCCTGCTCAACGGAGAACGCCGACCAGTCCTCCGAACTCCCACATCCCGACATCCCAGAGCAAAATAAAAAACAAACTCCAAAGAACAAAAAACCGAACAGGAGAGGAGGGGAATAGCTTACCAAAATTTTCAATAACCCAAGAAGTAGATTTCTTCCAAAATCGCCATCTCCAGAAATCGCACTCTCTGGCAAAGAACCAGAGGAGAGTGAAGAAACGCAAAGAAGAAAAGGCCTCTGCGTTTTCTACAGACAACCATCATTTCCAAACCTGCAAAGTAACTCACCTACAAACCTACCAATTGGGAAAAGCCACGTGGACCACACCAACCTTTTTGGAAGAATTTTTCAAAAAATTCAAACGGGCGTGCGAATTTCCTATGTGCTCAGCATTGGTTTTCTCTAAGAAAGCTGGGAGGTATGCATGTGCACAATATTATATGATTAATATTCTTTAGAATATCCTTTCAAAAAAAAAAATATATTCTTTAGAATATTATATTGGTTAAACAATATTGCAATGATATGTGGGGCATGGGGTGTGTCAAAGTGCACGTGAAGATGGCCACCAATTTCACAATATCACAAGGATAGGTGGCAATATCATATTCATATAAGAAGAAGAAGAGAGAAGTAGTTCCTCGCCTTAGCTGGGGACTTGGGGGACTCCTACCAAACATGGCATGACAGGAATTATATATAGATTAGCTCGGTACGAAGACTGATGCAACTCCCCACCCAAGGCGTGACCCTTGAATAGAGAGTTGGGGGACTCCTGTTGATATATATCATAGCCGGCCTAATTCACTATGTCATGCCAAAATGTCCTACCTGATTTACTATGCCTACCAAGGCCAAAATGTCCTACCTGATTCACTA